ACTAAAAGTTTTGTTCTTTGGGGGCTGGGAGATAGGATTAGGGTGGGGCATGTGTGAGTTCTCTGGGCTTCCTGGCTTATTGTGTGACTCCTCACCTGTATGTGATCTGCCAATCATCACTCCTCAGACACCAGACAAATGAGCCACTCTAATTCTCCTAATCATTTCATCTATAGGTTCATGGAACTGAAATTACAAAATATATGGCATTTTCTATTTTTCTTTCACATAACTGTGTTTCCTAGGTTCATCGTTATTATCAGCAATAATATTAACATTCATTGAATTTTAAACAAATTATAGCTGACAAAAGACAATTCATGGAATGTTCCTTTTATTGAAACAACATAACTAAGTAGCCTTTTTTTTGTGAACCTATTTTTTTTAAGAGTTTATTACTTGAGAGTTGGAATTACAGACAGAAGGAGAGCCAGAGAAAAGGGTCTTAGATCTGCTGCTTCACTCCTGAAATGGCTGCAATGACCAGAGCTGAGTCCATTATGAAGCCAGGAGTTTCTTCCAGCTCTCCCAGCTGGGTGCAGAGGTCCAAGCAGTTGGGTCATCTTCTACTTCTTTCCCGGGACAATGCAGAAATCCACATCCAAGGAGGAGCAGCTGTGCCACGAAGTGGCAAACATATGGCAGCACTGCAAGAGGAAGCTTAGCCTACATTGCCACAGCACTGGCTGGGCCTGTCTTCTTTTGAAACTTCTATGAGATATACATGCCTTACTACAACTGTCTTGAAACAGTGGTTAATTCTCTTTTCCGGATAATCAAAACACTTAAAGAAATAAAACAGGAAATGGTAAAATTAACCAGCAGGTTTTCAAATTTCAAATATTAATTCTGAGAATCATATCTCCAGGTATACTTCAATTGGTATTTATTGATATGGCCAGTCCTATATATAACTTCAACATATTAAAGTTTTAATTTGAAAGTTATCACTAAAGTTATAACTTCAACACAATTATATTCTGCATCATGTATCAATTTGTGAATGTAAAAATGTACTTCAACATTCTATTAATTTAGGCTTTTATGCATAATATCCCCTTGATGAGTGCATTCAGAAAATATCTATCAGAATTTCAAAAATTATCCCAGCAGGTTTTACTGCTATTAATTCTAAGAATTATATTTCCAGATATTCTTCCTTTGATACTTATTGATATGTCTAACCCTATACATTACTGACTTGTATTGATTTGTGAGTGTAAAAATGTAACTCACCCATCTATTAATTTAGGCTTTTATACACACTATCTCGATGGGTTTATTCAGAGAATATCTATCTGGATTTCTAAAATTAACAAATATTGCCGGTTTCATTTCGGCTGCTCCCCTCCCCGTCCAGCTCTCTGCTATGGCCTGGGCAAGCAGTAGAAGATGGCAGAGTGAAGGAGAGAGGGAGAGAAAGAGATCTTCCACTAGCTGTTTCACTCTCCAAACTGCCAGACAGTTTGGGCTGGGTCAGGCTGACCCAGAAGTTTCATCAGGGAATCCCATTTGGATGCAGGTGTCCAAATGTTTGGACCATCTTCAACAGCTTTCTCAGTTGCATTAGCAGGAATCTGAAGTGGAGCAGCAAGGATTGAACAGGCACTTCCATATGTGATCAACCCCCAGTTTAAGTTGTGATGATCTCTGTCATTCCAAGCACATTCCTTTTAAAAAAAAATTTTTTTTAACTTATTTGAGAAGAAGAGAAAGAGAGAGACAGAAAGAAAGGCCTTCCCTAGTTATACAAACTCTCGATGCGTGTATTCAGAGAATATCTATCTGGAATTCAAAACTTTACAAATATCACCTCTCAAATAATTATTCATTTCAATCAAGAGAACTTTTGTGTAATTTGAGATTGATCTGATTGCTTGTAACTAAATCAGCTGGAAAGCAGTTCACCCAAAGAATGATGGGAAATAGTGCCCCTCCCCCTAGTCCTCTCTGCTACAGTAACCCCATCAGGGCGGGGCTTGCTCCTCTTGTATAAAGGTCTCACCCAGTCAAGGTTTATTCAGTTCTGAGGCTTGGTGTTGACTGGGCTGTGGAGACCTTCTGATCCTCCAGAGCCCAGGGAACTCAGAACCACCTACCTGACCCAGGATCCAATCCAAGAAGTTGCAAAGGACCAATTCCAATCGCCAGGTGAGTACTGTGTCCAAAGAAATGAATTGAAGTTTTTTACCTTAAAACTTGAAAATAGAGGAATTTTCTTCTTAGTATTGAACCAACAGCAGTCTTACATCACTCCAGGCCTAGGGTAATGTATTTGTTATTTCCTTTTTTTAAGGATTTATTTATTAATATGAAAGTGAGAGTTAAATACAGAGAGAAGGAGAGAGAGAGAAAGAGAGAGAGAGAGAGGTCTTCCATGTGCTGGTTCACTCCCCAGTTGGTCACAATGGCTGGAGCTGCACTGATCAGAAGCCAGGAGCTACGAGATTCTTCTGGGTCTCCCACACAGTTGCGGGGGCCCAAGGACTTTGGCCATTTTCACCTGCTTTCCCATGTCATAGCAGAGAACTGGATCAGAAGTGGAGCAGCTGGGACTTGATCCAATGCCCATATGGTCTGCCAGCACCGCAGGATGCAGCTTTGACCCGCTATGTCGCAGCACCGACCACTTTGTCTGGAAATTCTAACAGGTATTCATGTCTTCTTTGGCTCTTCATGGTCTATAATGGCTGCATCTAGTGGTGTCTGCGATCCAGTTGGTGGCTTTTTTTTCGAAGATGCCGACCTCCTTAATTATCATTTGCTCTATGGAGTCAGCTTCCCTTAGTCTTCTGATACTTTAGGGAAGAGTTAGGTCTGAATCTACCCTCTTTGGTAACTGAAAAGAAAATATTGGCATAAACTGGCTCAAGCACATTTATCACACTAACTGATGGTTCCCATCTCCAAATAAACTCCTGGAATCCATGTATTGATGAATCCAAGTAAAAATAATATTCTGTTTTTATACTAGCAGTTTTAAGATTTTGATTAAGTCGTGCAGAGTAGCTCTAGTATAAAAATTCAAAGCTTTTGTTTTTTTACCTGGAAATCAAATCATCATAAGTGCAAATTGTCCAATTTTACAGAATACAGGACCAGAGTTTTGATTCTCAACAATTGAGTGCTTTCATAGGATAGCATTAAATGGTGTTTCCTTAAGTATCTCTGGACTGGCAAGATTTAAAGAAATGCCCAAACAGAGGGTAACGGCATCTTCCCTTGCTTCAGGAATGGTACTAGCTCCAATTGATCAAGATATTAGCAAGGGGCCTGCACTGTGGCATACTAGGCTAAGCCTCCACCTACTGCTCCAGCATCTCATACAGACACTAGTTCATGTCACTGCTGCCCCACTTCTGATCCAAGTCATTGCTAATGTGCATGGAAAAGCAGCAGTGAATGATCCAAGTGCTTGGACACTTGCACCCACATGGGAGACACAGAAGAAGCTCCTGGCTGATGGCTACAGGAGAGCACTGCTCCTGCCATTGTGGCCATTTGGGGAGTGAACCAGCAGATGGACGATCTTTCTCTCTGTCTATCCCTCTCTCTGTAATGCTTTCTGTCCAATAAATTTTGAAAAATCTCTAAAAAATGTTACTAGGCATTGTGTGGTGTGTGTGTGTGTGTGTATTCATTTGCTGATGAAGAACTTCAGAACTGACTGGGAATGATACTGCTGGTGTCCCAGGATGGAGAGAGCAGAGCCATGACCAGAAGAGCTACCACCCTGCTGGTGACTGACACAGTGCTCTACAGGGTAACCACTGAGAGAGAACCCTGGTGACCAGTAACCAGGTTGTCATAGCAGCTACCTCTACAAAGGTACCAGCTGCCTCTGCAGATATGACATCAAACCCAATGAAGAAACATTCCTTCACAGCATCTACCAGCATCTATTGGGACAGAGTCTCTGGCTTTACTTGCTCAGCTTTTCAGAGAAGTAACGGAGAACAGAGAGAATCTGGACAAAAAGGAACCTGAGATATCGTGAGATTACAAAAGACTGTAAAGTGAATCAGGGAACATGCAAAATATTTCAAATTATACTTTAGAAAGGAAGAATGAAAAGAGGAGAGAGAGCTCTTCCATCTGCTGGTTTACTACCCATATACCTGGCATGGCTCGGTCTGGGTCGGGCTAAAGCTCATTCTGGGCATCACACATGGGTGGTAGGGATCCTAGTACTTGGGCAATCACTTGCCAGCACTCATGGTGTGCATTTTCTGACCCTCGGTCATACCTTCAGTCAAGGGTATCTGAACTCGACACAGACTGTGGCCACATTCAGTCACTACAGGGATTGTCCTTCCTTTATAAATTATGCCTCCTTCCTTTTTGTGTTTTTTACTTTGATCTCAGGATGCTTAGACACTTCAGCTTCTTGAGTGTGTGGTCTGCTGCTTGTCTTATTGAGTTCCCTTTAAATAAGCTCCGGTGAGATTCGGTAAAAAGCTGGTGAGGCTGGTGTGGTGGAGATTGTGAAAAGCACAAATGCAGCATGTCAAAGGCAAGCCTAGATTTCATTTCAGACGTGGCAGTTTTCCAGTTACACTGCAGAGCCCATGAAATGTATGAAGGATGTACCCTGAGTGAGTTGTGGTTTTCCCACTAATTTTAGTGAAGGAGAATAATGTTCCTGCCCTTTCTCCTCTGACCTGCTGAATGACGATAGGATGCCCACAAATACATTCTTGGAGTCTTGTGGGAGAAAAACTTTGAGACATGTCAAGGATGGTACACAACAAGGACTTTAAGAGTGGTCCACAGCACTGATTTAGACTACGCTTTCTGTTCCAAAAAAGAACATCCTGGAATGCATAGAGAATAATCTCCCATCCACCGGACTCCACGGAAACAGAGAACAACCCAGTCACATCTGCCCTGGGGAAATTAGATTTGAGAGGATTTGCAGGGGAAGCTCTCCTACTGAGATAATTACAGATCTCTTCTCACTTCAGGAAGTTCTACAACTTGACAGAACTGTCCTGGGAACTATGGAACACATCAGACAGAAAAGCCACAAGAAACATCCAGACTTCCCAAAGAAGCCCCTGACTGCTTACATCTGCTATTTCAAGGAGATGCGGCCCCACTACTCCCAAAAGTACCCCAAACTCAGCAACCAAGAGCTCACCAAAATCCTATCTGGGAAATACAAGCAGCTCCCAGAGCACATGAAGCAGAAATACTTCCAGGATTTCCAGAGGGAGAAGCAGGAATATGAGGAAAAACTGGCTCGGTTCAGGGAAGATCACCCTGATCTGGTCCAGGACTCCAAGAAATCGGATTTCTTCAAGAAGGGCCAAGCCCAGGCCTCCAGGAAGTCTCCGGGAAATGGGAAACATGTGAGGTCTCCTCCAGAGAGGTATGGCTTGTCCAGGAAGCTGGTCTTCCTTGGAGAGCCCAAGAAGCCCCCTATGAACGCATACCACAAATTCCACCAAGATTTGTGGGGCAGTCCAGAGCTGCGAAGCCTGCACCCGAGGGAGCGCATGGTGGAGGTCAGCAGGCACTGGCAGCGTGTTCCACAAAGCCAGAGGGAGCACTTTACCAGACAGGCGGAGGAGCTGCAGAGACAGTACAAGGTGAACCTGGACCTCTGGCTGCAGAGTCTGTCACCTGAGGAATATGCTGTCTACAAAGAAGCCAACTATGGCAAGGGGAGGAATATGCGCATGACCGGAGGCCCAAACCCCAACTTCAGACAGGGGTATCTGCAGCCCACATCAATAAGGAGTTCCCAAGAAGCACCTATAGAGAAGCAGATGATGCAGGCTCTTGGGAAAGATCACTCAGGCATATTGAGGTCGATTCTCCTCCCTCACAGCGAGCAGACGTGGATGTGGAGGAAGATGGAGAAGAGGATGAAGGCAGTAACTCTTCAGACTCTGTCAGTGAGGATGAAGATGAGGCTGCAGGGAAGATGGGGATGAGCGAGGATGCTGTGTGTAGCTCATCTTCCTCAGACTCTGACTGAGCTCTGCTCACAGTCTAGAAGCCTGGACAGTGACAGTGATCTCCACAAAAAGTGTTCATGACCAAATGTCACCGAGAGGACTCCCTTGTCCCTGCTCCTTGTATTTTCTTGCCTTTTTTCCTTTCCTTCTTCCCACCTTCTATCTCAATAAACGTAGACCACGCTAGTATGAGGGGAAGGTGGTGCTGTATCTCTGTATCAAGTTGGTAAATCTGGAGGGATGGCTTTTCTGAGGAATGCATGTAAATGCTAGCTGGTACCGCCCATCATCATCCCCAATTCCATCCCTGAGAAATTCCAAGTAATTGAAGCTCTTGGTAAACAAGGAACTGCTTGGGCTGTGGGGCACACGGTGGTAGATGTGTTGGTCATCTTATCTTCTTTTGGGGACATGGTTGAGTGAATGACCACTTTTTTCCCTGGGGAGCTTCTCCAAATTTTTGAACATAATCCCGGGGCCCCCAGAGTTTTTGAGGGACAGCAGGAGAGGTCTCCTAGGAAAGTTGTCAGATTCTAAATAGTGCTCCCTCTTGCTGAAGTAAGGATTGATGTCACCAGGAGAGCAGTG